TTTTTTTTTTTTTTTTTTTTTTTTTTTAATAGTTGAAGCTCTATTTCGTCTGACACCAATGGCTTGTCATTGCAAAATGTCATGGTTATTAAACTAATTCCACTCATGCTTCCTTTCTGGTCCCTCTGAATGAATTCTAATAGATTAGGTACAGAAGTTACACATAAACCGGTTTAAGTGATCAGAAACTAGTTTAAACCTGTAACAGAACAGAAATTCAGCGCACATAAATTGCTTTCAAAATGGCTGAAACTGGTTTAAGATAAACCTGGTTGAATGTCTTACCAGACCTATCTGATATAGATCAAACCAGTTTATGGAACTTCTGTCCCAGACCCCATCCTGGTTCAAGTTAACTCACAGTCCTCCAGCATCCCAGCATACTTTGCAGCCCTGGGCTGGGCTGGGCCGTGCTGTCTGCTCCAGTGGAGCAGGGTTAGCCCTGCCCCTCTACTGCCTAATTGTAGCACTATCGCTAGTCTGGCTGACAGAAGTGGTTGGGGTAGGAAACCCTGCTCCGGACGGTCTGCCTGGTGAGGATGGAACAGCTGCTCACAGGCTTTTCCTCCACTTGCTGCTTGAGCAGAGAAGGCAGGGGCATGGCCAGAAACAGGCCCTGGGCCAGCATGCTAAGGAAGAAAGGGAGGGAGGGAGGGGAGTTTAAGAACCCCTCCCTTCCCTCTCCCACTACTATGGGACCCCAGCCGGAGTCTGCCTGGCAGGAGTGCAGTCCCTGCCAGGCTTTTGCCCTGCTCACCACTCTAGCAGAGGCAGTGAGGGCATGGCCAGATGCTGCCCCCAGGCTGGCACACTGAGGCCAAGGGCAGGAACCAGCATCTGGCTGCACCCCTGGCCCCTCAGCTAGAGCAAGAGAAAAGCCTGGCATGGGCTGCTGCACCCATGCCAGGCAGACCCCGCTAGTGTCCTGTGCTGTTGGGAGAAGGAGTTTAAACCCTGCTCCATCCAGGGTGAGGGTTTAAACCCCACCCCCAATCATACTCAGTGTACCTAGATCATTCCCAACCAGTGGCTGCCCAACCTCTTCTTGAACACCTCCAATTATCAAGAGTATACAACTTCCCTAGCCAGTCTATTCCACTGCCTCACTATTCTAACAGTGAAGGGGTTTTTTTTTCCAGATATCTAATCTAAACCTACTTTGTTACCATTTCAAGCCATTGGTCTGCATCCACCTTTCTGAAGCAAGAGAGAAAAGGTGTTTGTCCTCTTCCACATAGCAGCCCTTCAAGTACTTGAAGACTGCTATCATGTCCCCTCTTAAGCGCCTTTTCTGCAAGCTGAGCATGCCTAGCTCCTTCAACCTCTCCCCATGTGACTTGCTTTTTCCAAGCCCTTTATTATTATAGCTGCCCACCTCTGGACCCTTTCTAAATTCTCCATGTACTTTTTAAAGTGTGGTTTATCTGAGGATATACAGAAAACACCCTTAACAAAACAGGCCAACACATCGTATAAACCAGGGAAAGGCAATTATTTTGAGAGAAGGGCCACTTACACCCAGTTTTGGCAAGCTGTCAAGGGCCACATGGGTAGCCCCGTCCCTTGACAGGTGCCCTGGCCCCTGGTCACCATCTTGGGTCCAATATCCCAATGTCTTGGGAGC